GATCCCGATCCCCCATGTCCCTGTATCCCACTGCCTGTCCCGATCCCTCATCTCCCTTCTGAGCTGGTGTGCTGTGATTTTATGGTCTCTCCTACCAAGCCACGCTGTGCTCTCTTGCAGGTGGATCACACAATAATTATGTACCTCGTGGGCCCTGATGGTGACTTTGTGGACTACTATGGCCAGAATAAGAAGAGTGCTGAGATTTCGGCTTCTGTTGCTGCACACATGAGAAAATACAGATCCTAAATCAGAAGGTCTTCAAAGGTTGCTGTGAATGTCACCTGTGGGTTTGGCTGTGATTGGACTTTGGAGTTAAAGCAGAAGCATACTAATGTAACATCCTGTCAAGCAGGTCTCCTTTCTTCCAAATAAGAAAGGCATCCATGTTTCTGCAATTTCCATGACCAAAAATCTCTACAGAGCCCTCACCGTGGATATAATTTCCAACAAGATCTTGGGTACAGAATGAAATTTTGGACTTCTCTGAAACGTTGTTGGGAGCAAAGGATGGAAAGCATTTGTGGCTTGGGAAGAACATGTGTGTTGCTGGTAAAATATTGCTGGTAAAAAAATTGCTGGTCTGGAAAGACAACACCAAGGACAGCAGTCACTGCAGGAGGATTACTTGATGCAAAGCCATGGGGCCATGGCGTTCTCAGAGGAGCTCTGCCCTCTGTTTCTCTGCATTGTTTTGCCTTCTGGGAGAGGCAGTTGCACTATTAGAAGCTGGGGAGCCTTAAGAGTGCTTCTTTATCCAGGTTAAGAAGGTGAAGAGCACTGAAAGCACTGGCAGCTTCCACGCATGGGACCAGCCCTTTAGCAAGCCTCATCATTTCATCTGAATGCAGAAATGAAATGTATTTTTCTGGTGATTTTTTCCAGGTGAACACTGTTCACTTGTAAGGAAAAGAGAATTGGGTTGCAAATAGGTTTTTGTTCTGGTGCAAATGATTGTGTGTGTAGTTGCTCTGCTTGTGCTGTGCTGAGCGGGGAAGTGGGGAGGGTGCAGGGGGGCTGTGTCCATGCAGAGGGCTGGTAATTAGATACATTTAATGCAATGCAGCATTTGAAAATAAAGATTGATTTGTATAGGCAGTATATATTTTTATTTCCTTAGGTTTAACTAGAATATCATCAGAACTTTGTATACTGGTCAAACTTCATATTCTTGCTCTGCTTTCCTTCTTTTTAGAAAGCAGTACTTATTTCTAGTCTTGCCCATCAGGGGCTGAATGTTCCTTTTTAAGCTGAACCTCAGAGAATGGTCCACAGGAGACAAACCAGAACAGTTCTTGGTGTGAGTTCCAGAGTCTTAGACTGAGCACAGGTGTTGCTGCAGATAGCACTGGTGTTCTCCTGAGTGTGGGGGTTGGAAGAGAGCATTCCCATTCAAGGGAAGGTGCAAAGCCTGTGGAAAATCCCTGTCTTTCCAAAATTGCAAAAAATAGTAAACTTCACCTATTTCAGAGCAGTGGCATCTCCCATGCATTTTTACATATATTGGTTACTTGTTCTCTTCCATGACTTTCATCTTCAGGTCTGTATTTATTTGGTCCCTTGTGATTTATTTGTGTTTGTGGAGTCCTCAGGACCCATCTCTGCCCCATCTCTTACTATCCTGTGGCTGTGCTCTGCACAGCAGCCTTTGTCTGCCCTTCTCAAGGTCTCTGCTGTCATACCAGGCCTGTATTTTAAATATTGCAGCAGTGTGTTAGGGCCA